AAGTTTAGGTTTGACTTGAGATATTTCCTCTTTTTTTATAGCTATAAATTTCTCTCTGAGCACAGCTTTTGCTTCACCCCATAAGTTTTGGTATGTTTGGATTTTTTTTTCATTTGTTTAATATTTTCTAATTTCCCTGTGATTTCTTCTTTGACCCATTGGTTGTGTAAGAGTATGTTCTCTGATTTCCTCATATTTGTAAATTTTCCAATTTTCTTTCTGTCATCGATTTTTTTGCTTTATTCCATTGTGGCCGGAGGAGATATTTCATCTGACTTTAATCTTCTAGAGTTAGAGAGACTTGTTTTGTGGCCTAAGATATAGTCTATCCTGGAGAATATTCCACATACACTTGAGAAGACTCTGTATTCTGCTGTTGCTGGGTAGAGTGAGCTATATCTGTCCAATAGGTCTAGTTGGTTTACATTGTTATTCAAATCATCTGTTGCCTTGATGATCCTCTATCTCATTATACTATCCATTATCACAAGTTTAGTGTTGGAGTCTCCAACTACTATTGTTGAACTGTTATTTCTCCCTTTGGTGCTGTTAGATTTTGCTTCATGTGTTTTGGGGCTCTGTTATTATGTGCATACGTGTTTATTATCATTATGTGTTCTTGATCCATTAGGCCCTTATCATTATAGAATGTGTTTGTCTCTTGTAACAGATTCTGTCTGGTATCAGTATAGCCACTCCAACTCTCTTTCAGTTACTGTTTAAATTAAGTTTCTTGTCCTATTCTTTTACTTTTAACTTATTCGTTTCTTTGGTTCTTGTAGACAGCATATGGTTGGATTATGTTCTTTTTGTTTTCTTTGATCCATTCTAGTCAATCACTGCTTTTTAACCCATTTACATTTAATGTAGCTACTTATACAGAAGCACTTACTTCTATCATTTTGCAATTTATTTTTCTATATGTCTTATATTTTTTCTGTTGCTCCGTTCTTCCACTACTGTCTTCTTTTGCGTTAGATAGATATTTGCTACTGTACCATGTTCTTCCATATATACATATATATTTTTTAGTTAGTTATTTTTCCTTTTTGGTTGCCCTGGTGATTACGATTAACACCTTAATTTATAACATACTACTTTGGATTAGTTTCAATACTATACAAAAACCTTGCTCCTATATTGGGCCATCGGTCCCTCATGTTGTTACTGTTACAAATTACATCTTTATACATTGTATGCCTATTGGCATAGATTTATAATTATTGTTTTATATAGTTGTCTTTTAAATCCTATGGAGGAAATAGAGGTGTTACTAACCAAAAACATATTAGTGCTGACTTTTATACTTACCTATGTTGTTACGTTTACTGTCCTTTATTTCTTCAAGTGGATGCAAGTTACTGCATAATGTCCATTCATGTCAGGCTGAAGGACTCCATTTAGCAATTCTCACAGGGCAGGTCTACTGGCAACAAAACTCCGTTTTTTAATTTTTATTTCTGGGAATATTTTTATTTCTCCTTCTGTTTTGAAAGATAGTTTTGCCAGTTATAGAACTCTTGGTTGACAGGGGGTTTTTTTCCTTTAGCACTTTGAATATGTCATCCTGCCACTTTCTGGCCTCCATGGTTTCTGATGACAAAGAAGCTATTAATCTTACTGGGGATCCCTCGTATCTGGTGAGTCACTTCTCTCTTTCTGCTTTCAGGGTGTTCTCTTTGTCTTTAGACATATTGATCATAATGTGGAGATCTCTGAGTTTTTACCACCATGGATAAACTTTGTGAGCTTCTTGGATATGCAGACTCATGTTTTTCACCAAATTTGGGACCATTATTTTTAAAGATATTCTTTCTTCTCTATTGTCTCTCACCTTTTCTTCTGTGATTCCCATCCACAGGTCTCTTAGGCTCTGCCCATTTCTCTTTACTCTTTTTTCTTTCTGTTCCTTGGTTTGGATAATCTCAATTGACTTATCTCTTATCATTCCTTCTGCTTGCTCAAATGTGCTGTAGAACCCCTCTAATGAGTTTTTAAATTTCAGTTGTTCAACTCACCTCCAGAGTTTCTCTTTGATTCCTTTTAATGATTCTTCTCCTTTCACTGCTAACCTCTACTTGGGGAGATATGTTACGTGATTCCCTCTAGCTCTTGAGCATTTTAACAGCATTGATTTAGAGTCTGTGTCTCATAAGTCAGTGTTTGGGCTTCCTAAGGGACAGTTTACATTCATTTTCTTTTCCTATACCTGGGCCATACTTTGTTTTTCTGCATGCCTCATAATTTTTTGTTGAAAATTGGACAGTTTGAATATTACAATGTTGACAACTCTGAAAACCTGTCCTGGGGTTTGCTGATGCTGTACTCTGCACTGTTGCTGTTCTTTGTTTGGTGACTTGTTCTGAAGGGATGCTGAACAGCCAGGATCCTCTGCTGTGTGGCCCCTGCTTTGTGTTTGGTTAGCCTAGTGGTCAGTCTGCAATTCAATAGAAATCTCCTTAGACATCGAGATAAAGCTACCCTTTTCCTGATTGTTTTTCTCAGTTCCTGTAAGCCTTTGACTAGTTTCCAGAGTTCCAGAGTTCTGATTTGTTCTTTTGCCAGTTTATGTGCTATTTCTGTGGCACCCTGGGCCCTTGGAGCTCTCTGTGCTGCCATTTTTGCTGATTTTACCATAGCCAATTGCTTTTCAGAACTTTCATGCTTTTTCAGTTTTTCTAAGACATGTTTAGATGGTGGATTCACTCCTGTTCATCCTACTTGTGCTTCCTGAATCCAGGGATTCATTTCTTCCATGTATTTTGTTAAAGTTTCACGTCTTACCTGTTCAAAGTCTTCTTCACTCCTTTTCTTAATTCTCCGTGTCAGCAGTTCCTATTAGGATGGTTAGCACCTCTTCCCGGCTTCTTAACCGAACTTTCCAGTTTTTACAATATTTTCCATCTTTGTTTCTCTAAGCTTCATTCTGGTTGGTTTCCTCAGATCTACCTTTCGGGGAACTAATTCTGTCTTCAACTTTGTCTAAGCAGCCACTTGTCCCTTTGAGTTTTAAATTTCCATGTGGCCTATATTTTTGATTTCTAGAAGTTCCAGGATTTTTTTTCAAAACTTCTAGGTTTTTTTGTTAATCTTTTTTAAAAAATTATTTTGCATCTTCCATAATCTTATTTATTTATTTATTTATTTATTTATTATCTCTACATTAGGCTCTCAATTCAATCATTTCTAACACATTCACACCCTTGGGATTCCTTGTGAGAGGCAGGGTCATGGGGAGGGGACACAGATGGGGCCATGGTGTCACAGGACCTCAATGTAGAAAACGTTCCTGTGGGTGCAAAGGCAAGATGGTGGTTTAATCGTCTTTTAAGCCATCAGAGCCCCAGGAATGCCAGGGGCATCTAAACGTTGAGCAAGGATTCCAGGAGATCCAGGGACTGAAGAGCTTGCCAGGCCAGCCCTCTCTGTACTGTATCATGATTGCGTCTTCAAACAAAACTCAATTCTCATTACATAGTAATACCTGTTTGCTACAGGGGGGAAAATGATCAATGAGAAAAATAAACTAAAATCACCCACAATCTTAGTTCCCACATTTAGCTGCCGTGGTCACACTAGCCCAGCTCCCCGGCTCCGTCCCTGGCTTGACTTCCCCCCTGGCACAGAGCACTGTCAGGAATGCTGCGTATTTCACTTCTTTGAGATAGTCTGTGTGTCCCCAAGGGTGTGTCAGCTCCAGGGCAGCCGGGGTCTTATCTTACTCCCTCTTGTTTCTGCCATGCCGGGAAGCAGAGGCATTGGGCACCATTGCCTCCATCAGGACCAGGACATCTGTGGTGAACGAACAAGTGCACGAGCCATCTCA